AGAATGAACAGAAAGCTAGAACTGGTCGCTAAAAATTTTTTTGAATGAGTGTGGCTGGGTTCTATTGTCCTATTCGGCAACCATTAGAGTCCAAACCCTCTCGTATTCTAATTTTTCTTAGCCGTTGTTTTTTATTCAGTCGTGATGTGTGCTGAGAATTTACGTCAAAGCATCTAATAAGTCTAGAGACAAGATCATTTGGTAAGGGGACGAGTGATTATTTATTTTTTTCGAGGAAGTGAGATGATTTCTGTTGGAAACATCAGAAGATAAAATTTACGTTTCAATGATGGTTTACACTGCTTCTTGCAAGGGTAAACACTCGATAGGCTCGGCGATCGTTCTTTTCATGCTGCCGCTCTTAAACTGTGGAACGATCTTCCTTGTTCTATTAGAAATATCGAATCTTTAAACAGGTTTAAGGAAGCTATTAAGAGTTTTTTCTTCACAAAACCCTTTCAACTCTTTGTCTGTAATTTTATGTTTCTATATTACTCAATTCATTTTTAATTTATAGCTTTAATATCTCAGAATAGCTTTAATTGGAAAGCTAATACTTCGCCTTTGACACATACCGTGGATGTCAGATTATCCAGTTTAATTTAAATGTTAAACAACAGACATATTATTCGCCAGCCGGAGGTCCGTATTGCTGGTTTTCACGTGACGTCACTAAATTTCAGACTTCAGAACTATTGATCCTCCTGAGATTTTACTTTCATGATGTATTAGAGCAGCTAAAAACTAATATTCAGACAAATTTTCACTCCAAATGGGTTCTTGGTTTAGTGATAGACTACTCTTGAATTTCTAAGCTTTTGCGTGACGTGGCCTTTACATGACGAGCGAGAGAGCTGTTATGTTGGTTTAAAAGGTGACTTATTTAGGGAAATTCAGCTATCTGAACAGTTCTTGTATTAGAATAAAGTATTATTGTTACGTTTATGAGTTCTTAGAGAGATAAATTCACGCTTTTGTAGCAAAACTCAGTGACAGATGTTTCTGCTGGTTTCCGGCCGCCATGTTGGTGCCCATCTGGGTGGGCACCAGCATGGCGGCTCCATACAAATCTCTATAAATTTGGGAAAAACGTTTCTCCTCATATCTTCCGTAAGAAAAATTGCTGTGACCTGAATCTTGGCGAGAGTCTTTACATATCTAGCTTCTTTCTATTTCCAGATTCTAGACTAAATCGATTGAACGGTTTTTATTTTTTATTTTGATCTATTTTGAATGGCGTGACACTGAAAACCAGCAATTGGGAAAAACTGTATTCAAGACAGAGGGCACAGTTTTTCCAAATACGGAGCGACCTAAGCTGGTAAATAGCATTTTCATTTTTTTTTTCAAACTTAACGAGATTATTTCCGAAAGAACCCGAATGATTTAAGGCTGTGATTACGTCCAGATCTTCCAAAAACTGAACGACTTTTGAGTGCATGAGCAAATGGTAGTTAAAATAGAGGTGATGCAAATTAAAGAGAGACGCTTCATCGAAACGTTTTCATTTGTGTAATGATGAAGGTGGCTTAAAAGGCTTCCGAACAAACCCTTTTTTTACCAGTATCTGTCACAATCTGACACCTGTTACACCTGTCAAATAGAAAGCGCGTAAGAAAAAGAAAAGCGCATGTACACATTTACAAAATAATGAAACTAGTCTGGCAAGGACTGTCACGACAATGTTTTCTTCAAAAACAGTCAATGATCTTACGGAAAGCATTATTCACTCTCATCGACGATAAATTCATGTACGATGATTTACCTCTGTTCATTAAGTAAACGGCGAGGAAAGTAATTGTGAGTAAATTCAAATTTTTTTATTTTGAAGTTGTGAGAGTTAGCTCGTTTGTTTGCTACAATGGCGTGTGTAAATCTGGTCATTCCTCCACAAAAACTAAATTGGAATGAGACACTCCAACGAGACACGAGGGGATTTAATGCGCCTTTTTTTTCACTAAATTCCTTCAGTTTCTGTTGTGCAATTTACAGTACAAACGTCCACATTGAACGGACTTGGAAAGACTCACAGAGAGCGTATATTTGTTGTAGAACTAAAAACTTCGCTCGCTCTTTCACTACGAACAACTTGTTTGAGAAAATTCAGACATTAAATGAATGAAAGTTCCATCGATTAGTTCAATTGTAACCAAAACGATTAAAATTAACCAACGTAATGACACTTCAGCTTATACAAATACATTTTGAAGCGAATATTTTTCTGTCAACCAAAGTGATTTAAGAGAGAGGAAAGAGAGGATTAATAAGTTATTCATCGCCTTGAGGTAGTGACGGACGCCTTTACTTAATAATACTGCCCAGCGGGAAAAACGAGATATATATTTATGAAAAATAGCAACGAAGATGGGGATGTAGTAGGCGACTCACGAAAGCGTTACCGTTGCCCGTGGGCAGAGATAGGAAAATACGGACCGGCGAAGAACCATTCAGATTGCAGGATTCGTTACCGTGCCCTCAGATAGAAAATTATACTGTAAATGAAATTCGAATACTTCCTCAAATTATTTATTCGCCTCACGCGCGGATGATCTAGACAAAAGTAATTGAAAATTACCTTTGTTTAGATCTTCTCACTCGATGACCTATCAATGAAGCTGTGTGTTGAAGATATAGACCTTAGATTAAATTTTTGTTTTGAGATCTTTTTTGTTTTACGTACGTTTTGTAGTTGGTAAATTGCTGAGGGTAAGACTGCACGTAAATGAATTCCACTTTTCCACCAATAAACAGCAAATGAAAAAGTAAACAGTACGTCAGTTTGAGTAACATCTGGTCCAAAGCAGGAAAAAGCGATTGCAAATTTCATTTTGTAAACCTATTTTCAAACCTCTGCCGTCGCCGTTTGCCAACCGCGAAACATGGATGCTGCTTGCCCAGAAAAACAACTCAGCACTACAGCTTCGATCGCTCTGTCTTTGTGGTTCTCATTGTCTGGTTTAGCAGCTGTAGCTGGAAACGCAATGGTATTGTGGTTGTTCTACAAAAGCGAGTCATTGCGAATAATTTCCAACCGATTCCTAGCCTCGCTGTCGACAGCAGATCTTTTCGTTGGACTTGTTATTGAACCAATCTGGATAGCCAGTTATTGTCTTATTCAGCCACCAGCTGATAGTGATATGTTCTTCTACACAGACATGTTCTGGGTTCACACGACCACCGCAACAACTTTTAGCTTGTGCTGTGTTTCTGTAGACCGGTTCATTGCGATTCGCTTTCCTTTCCGTTATCAGGAAATTATTACAAAGAAAAGGTGCTACACAGTCATCATATTGGTATGGTTATTTTCACTGGCACTTCCTTTCTCGATGATGTTAGTGAATAACGACAAAG